CTTCTACATGTCGAAACCAAACTTGGCAGGCTTGCTGAAGATCAGGGGGGCACTCAGAACCAATCCGCCACGGCCACTGATCCTCTCGAGCTTCAGGAGGTGCTCTGCGTACAGGAGGTGGCTTCTCGATGGGGAACTTCCTAGGCGCCAGCATCCGCGGAACCTTGGCCTGCGCTCCTATGCCGCTGAGCTTCAAGGCAACTGGCGCGTGTGACTTTGCCGGAGCTTCAGGAACAAGATACACCGATCCCACGCGCGACATCAGAACTCTGCTGCAGACGAAGAAGTCCAGCTCCCTCGCTCCGAAGGTAGGCTCTCCTGAGGAAATGATTTCTCCTTGCACACGTTTTGACCACTCTTCTACATCACTTGGCAACAGGTTCCAACCCGCAGCAACTATCCAAGGAAACTGTAGCTTGCCAGCTGCTTGAAACAGTTTGCTCAGGAGCTCGGTATTCTCTCCTGCGAGGCCGACGCTGGTATGAAGGTATACTGATGCTACCTACCACCAAGGGAATCGGAAGACCGACATTGATCATGGATGCAGCAATCCTGGAAGACGGAAGTTCTTTCCCACAACTCAAGTCCAACTTGTCTGATGGCAACTGACTGGGCACAGAGCATCCCGCACTGGACTCCGTAGGGCCTGGCCCTGTAATATCTGCTTTCGACATCGAGGCCTGAAATCCACGCTGCTGCGCCCGCTTGACGGCACTCTGGTGCTTGAACGAATCCTTGAGACGATGCTCCTGGAGACAGAGAACATCAGGGAGTGCTGGTCGACCTTCATGATCATGTTTCGCCCACTCCAACATGGCCTGCGCAGCGGACCACGTGCTGGGATTGAGCGTCCAAAGAACAATACTGGATGTACTGAGTGGGCTGCTACCCCACTCGCTGACGCTTGGCGTGCCCTGCGATGTCTGCCAGGAACCTGCGCAGAGCTTCTGGATCATCAGTGGAATCGAACCCAGCTCGCTTGAGCTTGGCCTTGAGCTCGCTGTCGTCTGGGTCAAGGACGATGATGTCTGGATCTGACCCACCTGCGCCAACAGGAGGGGCACAAGTCCCAGTAGCAGGCTGAGGTGAAGAAGGCTCTTCAGCCTTCGGCAACTTCGATGTGTACTCCGCCTTCTTCGCCTCCGTGGCCGCCAGGACCGCAGTGGCATCGATGGCGAAGCGCGTGGTGTATTTCTTGTCAGCCAGCTCAAGAACCTCCAGCATCTGGATCTCGTGCATTGGATCAGACTCCCCATCCTGCTCAGGCGGCTCGGGCAGGACGGTGGCGGCCCGGGCTTTCTCGATGAACTTTTCGATCTCCGCGAGGGTGTCCTGGTGCGCCTTGAGCTGCTGGCACTCCTGCTCATAGACTCGCTGGGCCTCCTCGAGCGCGATCTTGGCGTTCTGCACTCTCTCGGTGGACCCTTCGATCTGCTTGAGCTTCCTCGACTGCCTCTGGAGCAGGTCTTGGAGCCTCTTGGAGCCAAAGTCTGCGGGCCCTGGCTCTTCCGCTTTCTTGAGCACTTGAGTGAGCTTGGTGTCGAGGTCCGAGCCCGCTTGAAGCCCTCGTGACTTGAGCAGCTTGATGATATCCTCATTTGACAAATCCGCGACGCTGGTGCTGGTGCGCCCACCCGCCCTTGAGCCCCCTTGGCTCTGGTGGACAGGAGGACCGTTGAGCCAGGCATTGGCCCTCTGCACCTTGCCGTTCCAGCCCGGGGACTTCTGCTGCCGCTGCTCGCGTTGTTGATTGATGACATGTTGAGGCGCCCTCGATCCACACTCCCGGCAGGCAGACCTGAAGAGAAAGTTTGCGAAGGCACACTTGGGTTCGCGACACTGCCAGGTCTTGCTCTGGCCTTGTCCCGACGCGCCATGGGGTGACATGAAGAATCTCAGACTTTGGCTCGGGTCGGCTGCGCCACTTCCAAGTGCGCCGACCCAAAGGTTACCAAGCTTGAAACCTGGAAATGGCTGAGGAGGAGGAGGAGGAGGAGGAGGAGGAGGAGGAGGAGGAGGAGGAGGAGGAGGAGGAGGAGGAGCATGATGAAGGCCGTATACGGGATCCATACCCCGCGCTCGCCCCTGGCACCGTGCCCGCCCGCGCGCCTCCCTGGGGGGCTGGCCTCAGCCCGCTGGCCGCCGCCGCCGTGCGCGGAGGCCGCGGGCGCTATGTGGGGCCACGCGAAGGCTTGGGTGCCCAGCCGCATGAGACAGCACGGTATCATGATGATGCTGATGATGCTGAAGCTGATGCTGCTGCTGAGGATGATGATGCTGCTGATAAGGATGCGGATGGTGACGATGATGATGATGACGATGATGATGATGATGGTGATGATGCTTGTGATGTGATGGAACCATCGGCGGCCAGGCGGCTTGCGAGAAGCAGGCGCCATCATGCAAGAGAGGCTGCGCTGCGCTATCTTACGATGGCGAACGGCACTGGGATGAGGTCCGACGCTCAGATACCCAGCGGCAATAGGAGCACGTACGATACATAATGCGACAACCATGGCACGTGTAACGCCTACGGCACCAAATGCGACAATCACTAAACAAATGCAACAAGGACGAACAATCCGTGGTGTTCACCACATGTATCGTCGTGCAGATACCGATGAGCTACAACCACACCCTCCACAACGATTACGACGAATACAACGGCTACGAGTAGCACAGCGGTCACGACGACTACCACGCCTACGGTTTCCTCACTTCGGCACCAGGGCCACCTGCTCAGCTAATCGCGCGGATCACAAGCTGAGCTACGAGAACCACCAGCTGAGCTACCCCGGCCACTTCCTCAGCTGCGAGAGCCTCCAGCTGACGTCCAAGGGCCACCACCTGAGCTACCAGAGTCTCCAGCGGAACTTCGAGGGCCACTGGCTGAGCTACGAAGGCCACAGGAAGAGCTTCGAGAGCCACCAGCTGATCTACAAGCCCCACACGCTGAACTACGAGAGCCAACGGCTGAGGTACGAGGACCGCTGGCTGAGCTACGAGGGCCACACGCAGAATGACGAAGACCACCAGCTGAGCCACGAGAGGCACCAGGTGAGGCACCAAGGCCACCTGCTGAACTGCAAGAGCCACCAGCAGAGCTGCGAGGGCAACCTGCTGAGGTACGAGGGCCACAGCCTGCGCTACGAAGGCCACAAGCAGGGCAACGAGGATCACAAGCTGAGCTACGAGAGCCACGGGCGGAGATACCTGTGCCACCAGCTGAGCTACCAGAGCTTCCAACAGACCGCGAGGCACACCAGCTGAACCACGAGGACCACAAGCTCTCGGCTATGTGGGCCGCATGCAGAGCTATGAGTACCTCCAAGTGAGTCGCGACGGCCACCAGGAAGCGCCGGGCTTCAACCCGACAACGCTGGGCTGCAGCGCGATGCTAACGGGGGTCCGGCGCTCGACCCCAGCGTTGCCGTTCGCCTCGTCGGCAGCGCCCGCTACTCAACGGGCGGGAAGAGGCACTGGGGCCCTATGATGAGGCAGCCGACCGCTGGGTATTGAAGGCAGGGTCGGAGTCCATCCGGGTCAGGGCGACCTACCTGGAGCCCAATGGTCTCAGGACCAAGCATGCGCTCAGGCTCGCGTTCCAGCAGGCGGCATTTGTCAAGTGCAGCTGCCAGGACCCGATGCTTACATCGACGGCGTTCCCAAAGGTGTGCGACCTGGCAGCCGCCGAAGGGCAGCCAGGCGTAGCCGCCTGCCTGACTCTGAGCCTCGGCTCGGGGCGGCTTTCGATGTGGCTTGCAACCAAGTGGCGCCATAGGACACCGGGCGAGACCGGAGAAGATTACGAGGGCCACGCCACCGCCTGCTTCTGCCCGGGCAACGGCGGCCAGGAACAGCTTCTGCCACGATAGCTACCGAAACAAAACATGGCAAGTCTACGCGTGCCACCCCTCGCGCCGCGACAAACCCTGAACAACACTCCGCCCTGCGTTTCCCCCCCGTCCCCCGTTTGGACATGGGCCGGCGCGCATTCCGACGTGGCCGCGGGGGCTCTGCAATGGCGCAACCACTCGCTCAAGACCGTGTGCCCGAGCGGCTCGGGAGATGCACTCGAAACCCATGGTGCTCTGCCCGCAGGGGTCCGACTGCAAGCACTGTTTGGGGTGACGCCCTTTTGGGCACAGGCGCACTGAGCGGCCCTGCCGCTCCGCCTCCCTGTCACACACACACACACACACATATATATGTATATATATACATAGAAAGGGCAGTCACTGGCCATCGCTCGGACGTCCATTTCCTGTGCTTTTTTCGGTTTCGTGCGTGGTTTTTTCGCGAAATGATCAGGGATGCTCCTCGATGGTCCTCGCCGAAGGAAAAATGCACACGTCCGAGCGATGCCAAGGTCAAGGATTTGTGGGCAATCAAAGATTTGTGGTTTCTGGAGCTCTCGTGGGAGTGCTCTTTGGCTCGGCGCCAGCGGGCGGCTGGCGCGCGCACTCCAGCGCGCGCGGCTTGCGCGTCTGCGGGATCAGGATAGCTGCCATAGCGTTGCGCAGTTGTAGTCACATGCGGATGACGATTACGATTGCGATTACGATGATGATGATGATGATGATGATGATGATGATGATGATGATGATGATGATGATGATGATGATGATGCTGATGCTGATGCTGATGATGATGATGATGATGACGACGATGACGACGACGACAACGACGATGATGATGATACTGCTGATGATGCAGACGCAGACGCTCATGATGATGATGATGCTGATGCTGATACGGATGCTGCTGCTGTTGATGGTGATGATGGTGATGCTGATTGAGATTCTGATGATGCGGATGGTAATACTGATGATGTTGATGTTGATGTTGATGTTGATGTTGATGTTGATGTTGTTGATGATGCTGATGATGATGACGATGATGATGGTGGTGATGATGAGGATGATGATGATGATGATGATGATGATGAGGGGGATAATCAGGAGGAATCGGAGGAGAAGGAAGGAGGAGGAGGAAGGATTGAGTGACAATATCCAGGGGGCGCCGCGTGTCTCTGAAGCTGCCGCTACAACTGAGAAACGAGGGCGGATTGCGAGACAATTACGGCGCTGGATATGAGCTGTACTAGGAGAAGGGGAGGACGATGATGAGGAGGCAGCAAGGACGGCGAGAACTCTCACGGAGCCGACGGACCTCGGGAGAGCCGCTCTCCCTAGCGCTCCTTGCACGCCTTGTTGCATTTCTTGAGCTCTCTTCGGTGGCGAGTCCAGGAGGGAAATGCGAAGGGGCGGGCCTTCTCAGAAGGCTCGGAAGTCCCCTGGCCTTCCGAGAATTTTTGTCGGAGCCTTCCACCGATGGCGAAAGGCACTTTTCAGAGGGCGCGAAGGCTCCTGAGAAGTCCCGCCGCCTTCCGTGATGGCCTCCTCCTTCTCGCTTCCCCCCTCGCTCGCCGCCGATCTTTGTAGCACGTGTTCTGGCACTTCGTGAAGCTCTTGCCGCAATTGCTGTTGCACGTCCTGAGCCTCTTGGCGGCCGCCGACGCGGCCTCGCGCGCCTTCCTGGCGGCCGCCGCCGCCTGGGCCGGCGTCGCGCCCGCGGGGGCCGCGGCCGGCGAGGGGCCCGTGTCCGCAGCGCACGCCGTGTTGCAGGACGTCTGGTCGGAGATGCACTGCGTGACGCTCAGGGTCTGCGTGTGGGTGCACAGGGAGGCGCAGGCCGTCGGGTCGGTGATCGGCCTCTTCCCCTCCTCGTGGTGGCCGCCGCGGCGCGCCCTCCGGAGCGGGTCGACGTTCTCGCGGGAGGAGCAGAGAACGGCATCGGCCCGAGCTTTCGGAGGTCCGCGCGGGCTTCTCGGATCGGCGCTGGATTCCCACCCCCCTCCACTCCTTGACCTCCGTGGCCCTATCATCAACGTGATTCCAACCAGATTTCGACCACTCATCTGCACCCTTTCGTCAGGATCTCGTCCACATTTCGTCCAGACGTCGACCAAATCCGACGAAATCCTGACGAGATCCCCCAAACGGCCATGAATCTTGGAACCCTCTGAGGCTTCCATGAAGGACCACACAACGCACCTGGCGCGCTCCGCGCGCCAGGGGCGGCGCCGGAAGCACACCAAGGGGGGCCCAGCGCGACCTCGGGAGGACAGCGCAGAGCCCCGAAAATCTGTGCTTGTGCAGTTTTCTCTCCCTCGACTCGTTGAGATGGAAGTGGTCGTTCCTGGGGAAACCAAAAATACCGAGACCGCTACAGTGCTGACGCGGTCGCAAGAAACCCTCGCACGAAACCCAGCCCTGAAAACCCGCGCGCGAGGTGCACCTGAGGGGAAACTCGGAGCACCCTGAACGCAGCAGCTTCTTTGACGGCCGCGGGAAGTCAACGCGCAGCGCGCGGAGTGAAGAAACCCAGGGTACCCTGACGAAAAGCAGAAGGTTTCTTGATGCGCGTCCCCACTGTACTCCCCAGACCTCTCGTGGGGTGCGTTCTGACCCGCATCTCGAGGCAGACCCAGCGGTTGCGACGAAGGCCTCCCAGGAGGCCGAAAAGGCGAAAACGAAGCATGGCTATAGGTATCCCAGACCCTCGACCCCGAAAGGCCTCGACCCATTCCCCAGGACTGGCTTATCATCCCGAGTCGCTTTCTGACGGTCCTCGGGCCCAGCGAGGGCCCCCAATGGCCGAAGATGGCCAGAAGCCCCAAGGTACCGATACCGCTACTCTCCGGAACTCTCCCGCGGTGCGCTCCGACCAGAATCTCGAGGCCGATCCAGCGGTGGCGACGAGGGACCCCCAGGAGGCCCCACCGGGGGAAAAGCGAGGCAAGGGCAGCGACGTGGGCACCCTCTCCTCCTCTGCCTCTCTTTCCCTCCCCCGAGCTCCCCCCGAAGGGCACGTCGAAGTCGAGGCCCAGCTCCCGCAGCGCGGCCGCGGGGCGGTGCCCGGAGCCCGCGCGAGGCGTGCCCGCGGGCGCTCCCGGAGCGACCAGCACCAGCGAGCCCGCGGCGGCCGCGGCCAGCAGCAGGGCCGCCAGCAGGGCGGCCAGGCCAGCGGCGCTGCGGCCCCAGAGCCCTCGCCGTGAGCGGCGGACAGCAGGCGTCTGTACACCACCGCCGTGGCTTGCCAGGGCCAGCCTGGGCCCCGGCGAGGCGCATGCGGCCTCCTCCTCCTCCTCCTCCTCCTCCTCCTCCTCCTCCTCCTCCTCCTCCTCCCCTCCTCCTCCTCCTCCTCCTCCTCCTCCTCCTCCTCCTCCTCCTCCTCCTCCCCCTCCTCCTCCTCCTCCTCCTCCTCCTCCTCCTCCTCCTCCTCCTCCTCCTCCCGCCCTCCTCCTCCTCCCGCCCTCCTCCTCCTCCCCCTCCTGCTCCTGTAGCCCTGTTCCTCCTCCTCCTCCTCCTCCTCCTCCCCTCCCTCTCTCCTCTCCTCCTCCTCCTCCTCCTCCCCCTCCTCCATCCTCTACCTCCTCCTCCTCCTCCTCCTCCTCCTCCTCCTCCCTCCTCCTCCTCCTCCTCCTCCTCCTCCTCCTCCTCCTCCCCCTCCTTCCCCCTGCCTCCCATCTCCTCCTCCTCCGCCTCTCCTCCTCCTCCTCCTCCTCCTCCTCCTCCTCTCCTCCTCCTCCTCCTCCTCCCCCCTCCTCCTCCCCCTCCTCCTCCTCCTCCTCCTGCCTCCTCCTCCTCCTCCTCCTCCTCCTCCTCCTCCTCCTCCTCCTCCTCCTCCCTCCCCCTCCTCCCCCTCCTCCTCCTCCTCCTCTCCTCCTCCTTCCTCCTCCTCTCTCTCCTCCTCCTCCTCCTCCTCCTCCTCCTCCTCCTCCTCCTCCTCCTCCTCCTCCTCCCCTCCTCCGCCTCCTCCTCCTCCTCCTCCTCCTTCTACTCCTCCTCCTCCTCCTCCTCCTCCTCCTCCTCCTCCTTCGCCTCTTCCTGGCCGATGCCAGGAGGGCGTGTACACCATAGTGGGGCCCAGGGTGGCCCAGGCCAGGCACGGTGGCACTGTATGGATGCCGTCTGCAGAGGACGTGTCTCGGCTGCACGCAGGAGTGACCCCAGGCAAGAATGACCAGGGCAGGACCCTGTGGGCGCGCGTCTCGACACAAGGAAGACCAAGGTTTTTCAGTGTTCGGCCGCTCAAGGCCTCTACCAGGCCTCGGGACCGTCAAACACTACTCGGGACGAAAAGCCAGTCCCGGGGAAGTGGTCACTGAAGTGGTCGAGAGGTCGGGGGCCCGTGACCCCTGGCCCTCGGCAAGAGCGATCTTTGGTGCGCGGTTTTGTAGAGGCCTTCCAAATAGGGTCCGAGTAGATGAGGTCGGAGGATCGCGCCGCATCGCCGACGCACCGGCGATGTATCGACGAAGCATCCGCGACGTCGGCGCTGTATCGGCGCCGTCGGCGTGGAGGAAGTCGGTCTCCACATCGAGCCGCATCGCCGAGTGCATCGACGATGCAGCTCGATCCTCCGACGCCATCTGCTCCGACCCCATCTGGGAGGCTTAGATTTGGTGCGCGGCTTTAGAGAGCCGCGGGGGGTCCAAATCCGAGCGTGCAGTTCAGTGCTGGGGGTGTCCCTGTGGGCCCGCACCGGAAGTAACTCGGGCGACGGCTCACTCTTACGTGTAGCCGAGTATCCATATCCGCGCCCTGGCGGACTGGATTCTGGGGCGCGATCCCGCGGATGCGCGTTCGCACGGGTACGTTCCGCGCCTCGGGGCGTCCGTGAAAAAACACTCCGTGTCCGCGGGGTCGCAGCCCGCGAGGCCGTGGATACGAATTAGTTTCTCGCCCACGACCTCGAGGATGTCAGGGCCCCGCTGATGGGCGCGTCGCGAGGGCCAGAGGAAGGAAGGAAAGATACCGATGCCGCTGCTCGTCCTGGAGAGTCCTGGTCACCACGGCTGGACTGTCCTAGAGATACTGGTCAGAACGCGCCCCTGGAGAGGTCCAGCGAGTAGCGGTATCGCTGGCTGTCGCGGACCCAAATCTCCGACGACATGTTTTCTTAATCCTTGCGCTGTTTCTCGATCTCGGCCCCTAGGGCCCGCTGCAAGGCCCCGGGGCAATCAAAAACTGATCTGCCATGAAGAACTCCCTCCAGGGGAAAGGTCGTGACCTCTGAGGAGGAAGATGAGGAGGAGGAGGAGGAGGAGGAGGAGGAGGAGGAGGAGGAGGAGGAGGAGAGTCGAGGAGGAGGAGGAGGCGGAAGAGGAGGAGGAGGAGGAGGAGGTCGAGGAGGAGGAGGAGGGAGGAGGAGGAGGAGGAGGAGGAGGAGAAGAGGAGGAGGAACAGGAGGAGGAGAGAGGAGGAGGAGGAGAGGAGGAGGGAGGAGGGAGGAGGAGGAGGAGGAGGAGGAGGAGGAGGAGGAGGAGGGAGGAGGAGGCGCACGCCGTGACGGAGTGAGCGTTGGGGTCGCCGCCGCGCCAACGCCACGTGAACCTGCCGTGCAACCGCCAGCCTTGGCCAGGCCCCCCTCGGGCCCTGGACTGCTGCATGGGTATGGGTCGGGGGGAACGAGAGGGGGGGATAGCAAAGGGTAGGGTAGATAATCAGCTCGCGTGGCTGATTTTCCCAGCGCCTCCCGGCGCCAGGAGGCCATGTATCGAGGAGTGGGCCCGGCGGCGGGGCCGATACCAGCTGCATGCAGCAGACTTCGTACCCCCTCTTTCCCTATCCCCCCCTTTCGTTCGGCCCGAGTATGGGCCGTCCTTGCCTGGGCCAGGAGGGCATACACCACGCGCACCAATCCAGGATGTGGGATGGGCCTGGCCAGTGCCCTCCAGAGGCCCCCCAGAGAGGGCCCAGGGGAAGGCCTTCCTCCCAGGAGTAGCATGTAGGGAATAAAGGCCCAATCTCGCCATCGCTCGGACGTCCATTCCCTGTGCATTTTTCGGTTTCGTCCGTCGTGGGGCGGGCCGGGGGAGCCCAGGGGCCCAGGTAGGCCTGGAAGGCCTGGGAAAGCCTAGGTTTAGGTCGGGCATGTTCCCCTACAGGTGGGTTTGGGAGGAAAAATTAAACATATCAAACAATGCTTCAGA